ATTGGCCATATTTGTCACATGCGGTAGGACTCCAGTAGAGAACGTAATTTAACTCTTTCTGCACCGCTGGAAGAATGAGACGTTGACGGATCGTTTTTTTTTTTTTTTTCTATCGGGTTGTTTTTCTTTACTCGAAGAGATCAAATTACTGGTGGGGACAATTCAATAATTGCTGGATATTGGTGGGGACATGTCCCTTCCGTCCATGACAAATCTACGCCCTTGCCGGAGCGGAATTAAAAACACGATATTCATTTAAGGTCATCGTGTGTTTTGTGAGCAAATGCTTTTGCATATTCGTAGTGTTCCTCCCTTAAATGAAATATCTACTTTGCAAGTATTGCAAGTTGCCCTGTTGTCATCCGTTCTCGTAAAGTATAACCAAAGTTTTGAGGGTTTGATCCGCTTAGGTGCTGTGTTTCCTGCCAGGTAAATGACGCTCCGCAACGTGGTGACGTAATTCGGGGCGACTGGAATCGATAAGGGAATCGTTTGCAAAAATGGCAAACAATTCCAAGGAATTGAAACAGTGGGAACCGGTTTTTGATACCCATCCCTAGTCCTTGCACACATCGGATAATAGTGCTATATACTTAACAAAGCTGGTAAAAAATATCTACTACTAGCCGAGGGGGATCTATAACAGCCAACAATGGTAATAAAATAGCCATTGAAAAGTTGGAGCTTGAGGGCAAGAAGTTCAAACTGTTTACAAACAGATGCCGATGAATCAACAGTAACATGGAATTTGCTTTTTACATAAATTGCAACACCGCCAACCTTTCTGGGGCGGTCACAACGGAAAAGATTATAGCCTGTTATTGCAATGTCTTTGTCAGTAATTGATTTTGTAAGCCAGGTTTCTGATAATATAAGAATATTGGTATCTAACTCTTTCATCCAAATTTTCACAAAATCAAGTTTGGGAAGAGAACTGGGAAATAAACCAGTGATATGGAATAAATAAATCAGTTAAATCTGTTGAAATGAGATCTCTGATGATCACGTTAGAGAAGCTTTTAAAAGATGTAAAATCCCACCTTGTTCCCTTTGAGAGGAGTAAGAACTATGGTTTCTCTTGCTCCACAGACTGTTCCTGCACCTCATGTAGACAAGAAGCTGTCAATAAAAGCAATAAAGGAAAAAAGACTACTGAGGATAACATGCTGACTGACGGATAGACCTGGTAGACCTGTGGTAGAGCCTGGTTGTGGCCTGCTAGGTGATGGTGGAGCCTGGTTGTGGCCTGCTGGCTTGGACCAGCTAGCTGATGGTGGCACCTGGTTGTGGGCTGTTGGCTGATGGTAGAGCCTGGCTGTGTGGCCTGCTGGCTGATGGTGGAGCCTAGTTGTGGCCTGCTGGCTGATGGTAGAGCCTGGTTGTGGCCTGCTGGCTGGACCAGCTAGCTGATGGTGGAGCCTGGCTGTGGGCTGATGGTGGAGCCTGGTTGTGGGGTGCTGGCTGGACCAGCTAGATGATTGGTTGGCTTGTTCTGCTTATTCTGTTAATTTAATCTTCACTTGCTAATGATGTTTCACTATATGATCCCAGGAGGAGAAACAAATCCTTTTGGGGTTGCATTAGGAAGTATATCCGGCAAAAAAAACAAAAAAACCCTGCTAAGTTAAACATGTAAAGCTACTCACTGTGACAACCTCTTGTGAATAAGGAAGCAGCATTTAGTATATTACATCTCTGTAGTAGAAGTTGGGGATTGAGTCCAGACTTTGCAATGATGTTATCTGGCCAACAGATGGAGCTGTAGCTCATCTTAGTCAGACTTTTTTCCCATACCTGCAAGTAGGTAGGATGAGCAGCTGTATAGACACTGAGGAAACATGTTTTTCATGAACCGTTTGATCCTGTCAGATCCAAAAGACAATAATCATTAGTTAAATATAATTAATAATCAAACACATTAGTGGTAGATGTGCTTTTTGAATTAAGAATAATCTAAATGCAAATGTAAAATATAACGCTGATGCTAAATCTAGTACTAGACGCAATAGAAATATTTTCACACAATTATAAAATGTAGATGATTTTTATCACTGAGTAAATACCACAGTTTTCTTGTATTTTCACCAGGAGAATATAAATACTGTTGTATTTATTTATGAATATTTTAATGCTGATATTTGACTAGAAAAAGAAGTGATGAAAATGTTTTATAATTAATTTAGCTGAGGTTAATCTAAATTATACCGTAAATGTTATTCTGGAGTTGATGACAATAATAGATGTAGCTGTAGTTTTTAAATGCACTGTTTTTTCATAGATTGCAATAATGGCCAAAAAATCTGCAAACTGCTGCAGATTTATTGGCAGCACAGCCAGGATGAAACCTCCTGTTCCACCACATGCCAAAGGTGCTCTACTGGGTTGAGGTCTGGTGACTGTGAAGGACATTTGAGTACAACGACTTCATTTTCACGTTCAAGACACCAGTTTGGGACGAAATCGGCTTTGCGACATTAGTGTTATCCTGCCGGAAGCAGCCATCGGAAAATGAGTACACTATTTAAATAATGCTCAATCAGTACCAAGAGGCCCAAAGTGTCCCAAGAAACTGTCCCACACACTATCACACCACTAGCAATGGTCTGAGTTGTTGATACAAGTCAGGATAAATCATGCTTTCATGTTTACAGACATGTATTGCAGCAGAAATGGAGACTCATGAGACGTTTTTCAAATATTATAATGTCCAATTTTGGTGAGCCTCTGCAAATTGTAGCCTCAGTTTTCAGTTTGTACCTGACTGGAGTAACACCCGGTGGCGTCATCTGATACTATAGTTCATCTGTTTCAAAATTTGCCATGTGTTTAGGGAACACATGGCAAACACATGTCCAGGGAACTGATGCTCACTTGATATTTTGAAGACCATTCTCTTTAAACTCAAGAGATGGTTCTGCAGGAAATCCCAGTAGATCAACAGTTTCTGAAATACTAGTTTTAGAAAGACAGCTATGCAATTTTAATTAATAATTTAACTGTGATTTAACTATACTAGCCTAGTTACAGTAGTAGAAATAAATAAATAAATGAAACAAACCCTCCAAAATAAGAAATAACTTTACAAAAATTGTAAAGACTTTATTAAACTGTATTAAAGCACATGCATTTCTGTGTTATCCATCTGTTTACACTCACATCCGGACATCCTACACACCCAGACAACAAGCTTGCACTTGGCTGACACTTGAAGAGATCAGAGCTATATCATTTAGGGTCACTGAAGAGGTAATAGCAAATATTATATAAAGTGCTGGCATACCTTCTGACAGACAGAAGTTATGCAAACAAACAAAAACAACAATCTGCTTTTCCCCATGGCTACTACTGAAAGGCAAGAGTGTGAAAACATTAAAATTCCTGTTAATATAGATATCATATCACATAGAATAATATAAATCCACTGTGCATATCTGTACTCAAGAAAATATAGTTCATCTTATCAGAATAAGTGCGCATTTTCAGATCATATCCACGAAGTGAAATGTTTGTTTTATTTCTCTCTCTCCACAGGGACCTCAAACACACACACAACAAACCTGGCAAGTGAAGTGTTTTCATTAAGGCTTCTTCATAATCTAGTGTGATGCAGGAAGAGATTTTTTTTTTTTTAGTTGCAGCATTCACAGATTACGGCAGTGAATCTCATGCAGCTTTGACTGGTCGGTTGTGTTTGGTCAGATGTTAACATGGCGTAGGACGCGACGGAGTGAGTGTCCATCCCGTGCGGTGCACATGGCGGGAAGGGGTACAGGCTCGGTCTTATGCTCCACAGTGTTGAAGTGGCACTTCTTAAGGTGGTTCGACATGCTGGGGACATCAGTGAAGCCCCACGATAACACCGGGCTGAAGGCAGTGCTGAATCGCCAAACCTGGGGTAGTAAATAAAAGAAGTAGTTTTTGATTTATTATCTTTAAAATCTGGCCTTTTATATATTACTTTGCATTTAATATAGGTAGTACGATAGCTATATACATTGGTGCTAACAAGAAATTTTAATAACTATTTTAGAGAAATAGTTAAACACCAGTATACAGTACAGAACACTGGATTTCTGCTTACTTTATTTTTCGTCTGCCATGACACAGTGCCATGAGGACCAGGGCTTTGTCTTCGCTCCCACTGCAGGTCCACTACACCCCTGGTCTGAAGGAGGCTGGCACACACTTCCCTCATAGTCCTTGATACCAATGACAGCTGGCACAAGCTGAAACTGTCCAGGAATCCAGCTATGTGCCACAGTATCTCAATAGGAAGCCCACTAAACTGGTCTGACTGGGAGTCACCTGGAAGTTTTGCTTTAGGGCAAGGCTGGACTCCAAAGGATTTGAGGTGCCTGTCATGAATCACCTTTGCCCCCTGGACAGATGGGTAAAATCTTCTTTGGGAAAACGTGCAGCCATAATATGCCAGGGGGCAGCGTTGCTCCATCCAACCATTGAGACCAGCGTGAATGTCACCGTGGACATTTGTGAAATGGGATGAAAACTGGTCCCGGCGGAATGACTGACCACAGACAAAGGGGAACATATGCTGGTAGCGGGGGTTAGGAGGGAGGTAACGGTTATGGGGGACTGCCTCGACCTCCAGAGCTTCCAGGACGAGACCTAAGCGGAGGGTACGGAAAGGGCTGGGGTAGGAGATCTGTGGGGCAGCATGGTCGCAGGCAGAAGCAGAGGCCATGTCACCCACTCTGGTGTTAGTTACTAAGATTGCAGCAGGAAAGGTGAAAGTCTGTGTGCCAAAGTTAACATGGTAACCATCAATATAGACTGTATCAGAGATCCTTCTGCACTCTCTAGACTCCTCTAAACAGAAGAGCAGGGCTGCTGTGATCAGATCGATCTCTCCTAGACCCATGGGGTCGTCATCCTGCTCTAGCTCTGAAGTATCCACTGCCTTGTCCTCCATTACAGGTTGGAACCTAGACAATGACCTGCCTGGAGTGATACCCATCTGACCATTAGAAAATGAAGATTTGCTTGGGCCCCTAAAGGTCTGGTAGTTCCTCTTGACCCCATGGTTTTCTGAAAGAAAGAGCCCTCTATCTTCTAGAACGATATGACCAGCCCTCTGTGCCACAGGCTTTCTGACATGGAGTGGAGGTGCCATTTGATGGGCAAGTAATTCTTGACAGTCATCAGCATGCAAGTTATCTTGAACCTCAATGGGACAGGCCGTCTCAAGACAAGCCTCAGGTGCCCCTAAAAATGGCCCATTGGCTGTATTCACAATCATTACGTCTGTTTCGTTTAGAGACCCATTTCCACTCAAACAGCTTGAACAAACACTTTCCTCCTTAATGCCGCTTTTATGCAAACTATCTGAAGCTGCAGGTGTTTCGTCTTCCAGTCCATTCTGAAAGTCTCCATTGTTGCTCAATCTACTTTTCTGTACAGCAGCTTCTTTGTTCACACGCTCTGCGCTGGTTTCACCAGAGCTGGCACTGCTAACAAAGTCTAAAGCAGCAGCTAAGCTTCTTGCAGTCTCAACTGTGGCCTCATACAGTTTACCAAAGTGCTCCTCATTCAAGCCATTAATTCCACTGAAAATTTTCTCCTTTGCTGAGCCTGGTGGGTGTGGCTGTGCTTGATGAGTGGCTGGCAGCGGGGAAGGTGACTGAATAAATGAGGAGGCCTTAGGAGCACATGTTTGTAAAGTGGAGTGTGTCGCTCTGTTCTCTTTACTAACACTGACAAGTGGCTCTCCTTGTGCAGTAGGTGCCATGGCAATCACCTTGAGGGACTCCAGCAGTGTACGCTGGTCCTGAAGGGCAAGTGCCATGTCCAGCTGCTCCACCTCTTCCACACCACGGCTCAGGCTTTCATAGGAAGTATAATCCAGGCAGCTAACAGGCCATCTGTTCCACTCCATAGTACAGCACACAAGTCCAGCTGGACACACTTCCAGGTGAGCATACATCTGGTTGCGCACCAGGGTGGCAGGGCAACCATATCCACTGTTTAGGCAAGGAATCCTCATCAGTGGGCACATAAGTTGATGTTCATCCACTTTGCAGGAGTGAAAAACAGCCCCACAAACCAAAGGACACGTTATGAGCTCGCAAGAAACTCCTGTTTCAGCTTTGACCGTGCACCTCTGGTTAAAACAGGACATACAGTGAACATGGTCCTCTTCCATCTTCAGACCAGAGTGATGGGGAGTGACTCTGGAAGAAGACAGTCCACAGTCCTGCCAAAAGATCAAATGCAGTAAGTTATGGGGCGACGACACATAAGCAACAAAGTCTGCTCTACATCTGTGGAGCAAACTGCTTTAATACAGTATCGGAGCTCGAGTCAAAAAGCAACAGAATGCAGTGTGATATTATTACAATACAGTAAATGACGAAACCAAGATTTTTATTTTTTTTTTTGCTATATTTTGCGTTTTACAATTAGAATAAATAGCATCATGTTGAAAAGACAGTTCACAATGGTCACTGGGAATATACCTGCAAGGTAATTCTTCATGCTAACAACAAAAACTGACATGTAGGCCATCTCGGCACCACATGAAGTATGTTGCACATTGCATATCTGCATTTACTCCAGCTGTTCTTTCTAAATGAGAAATATTAAAGATAAAAGAATTTTTAAAAAAAAGAAAAAAAAGAAGTAGCCATTGGAGCCTTTCCTTGTACACATAAAATAAAGGAAACTATAAAATTAGTATTATGCTGTCCTAGAGTTTTGGTCAAGTCTTGAAAGGTTGTTACAACTACAACAAACCAGTAGATGTCACACATGAGAGCCACGCCTCAGTAACTAAAGATCTTTATTTCAACCAAATAGTGTGCAAGCAAAGCATCAAAGCTTCTTAAAAGTGCAACAAGAAAAGTAGGTAATACAACAGAAATTATATTTCTAGGTAGCAGAAGCTGCATTTAAAAGAGACTTTTACTGTAGTTCATTGCAGTGTATTTCAAAAGAAGTGTACGAACCTTTTTAATTTATTGTCACAAATTATTTCATGAAAGAGTGGCGCATGATACTTGCCCCCTCTGCATACAACATAACATGCCTCATATGAATGCACTGGGAAAAAAATCAGTAGTGACAAAGCAAACCTAAATATTCTGCAGTTTTCTTCTTTCCATGAATGAAGCCTGCGTGGTAACTGTGAAACAGTGCCCTCTCTCCCAAAGAATAACAAACTCAGCTGCAGTCACGTGACACACCTAAAAGGCTGTCTCATACAGTACCTTATTAGGAAAATTCCCTGGTCAGTGCAGGACACTGAAACGTTTTCTTTTTCACATTTTGGACAGGAGAATAACACATCTCCCTAATTTTGAGCATGATTCGAGTCGGCAGTATGTTCTGTTTATAAATGTTACAAATTAACTTATACTAAAAAACAGCATACTGGTTTTGAGTATAATAAACACATTACTGTATCTATTATGTCATTCCCTGGCAAGGCTCCAAAAAATCTTACAAAACAAATAAATTGTATTAAATCAAATTTAGGAGCAAAATAAATCTTCATCTTTAAGAATCTACATAGCCAGTGTAATTCCACTGTTGCACTAGCATTTGATGGTGCACTTAAAGTTTAACTTCCTACGGGCATAAAATGCAAAAGTGTGTTGGCTCATAATGAATGATTCTAGATTATATTAAAGACTTTAACAGAAGTTGTGAACAGAACACATTAAATAAAGGTATTTTGTAGCCAGGACTTGGAGATCAGCTAGTGACATCTTTAAGAGTTGAAAATACGTCTAAAATGTATCCAACGAAGCTGGACATGTAGAAAGGACACTTACGGTGCAGCCATTTTTAAATCTCACGTGTAAAAAGATTAAAAGCAAAACAAAACAAAAAAAACCCTGATGCCAGTGGCGAGTTACTCAGAGCATCTGTTTCTCTAACCACTTCAGGCAAACGAATGAATACAAACAAATCCATCTGAAAGTTAAACGCTACCCCGTCACTTCTAAACCTTGCAGCATGTATAAATAAATAACCAAACACGTGACTAACATCCACAATATTTTAGCAAAACAATACTAGTTACTTTTTTCCCCTTTTTTTTTTTAAACCAGCATCTCTTTTCAGATGTGTGACCCAAATAAAGCTCATTCACTGACAACAAACGTAACACAAAAACACAGCGTGGCTAGATTAATGTTCCTCGCTAAGTTTACTTAAAACAAGAGCAAAAAAAGACGAGAAGCTTTCACTACCGTGTACAGTGGTATATTACGAGTCCAGTGCTGCAAGCTTGTTTGTTGTCATCAGCTCCTTCACCATCAAATCAACTTGTTTTTGTAACAATGGCAGGCAGCCTCATACTGTTAGCTAACAACAGCTAGCTAGCTCGGAAGTTGAACGGTTCAAAACAACAGCGGTATAAACCCGGGCTAGCATGCAGGGCACTTCTTACCTGATCGTAATGTTGGCAGCAAAAAGTCCGATCAAAAGTATTTAAAAAAAATTACAACAAACCCAGCTGTTAACTGCAGTTATAGCTATAGAGAAAGTGCTAATGATAGCCACTAGCTAGCTACATATCCTCTCAGCCTCTCTCTTTTTTTGTGTTCAAAGCTTTATTGACCAAAGCGCACATCTGTTTACACGGGGTAAAAAAAAAGAAAAAAAAAAAGCTGAGAATAATCACGGGAGTTGGCTACATAGGCGAAGACTTGGAGTTTTGCAACGATGTAAAAAGCAAACAATACTGAAAAACTGGTGTTTTTAACTGAAAAATTAATCTAAACTTTTTAAAAAAGGACACATTATGGTCATTGTTTAGTTCCACTTATACATCATGACATCTATAATAACTATGACAGGATAAAACTGTACTGTTATGTCATGGGTTATTTTGACATTGTAGCATTAAAATGCGTAAAACCTATAAAAATATATTTGGAAGACCAAACATATATCATAGGAACACACAAATGTTACTTCAGTAATGTGTGTATATCACTTTAATGATGTGTTTAATAATGTGATTAGAGAGAGAGAGAGAGAGAGAGAGAGAGAGAGAGATTACACTGAAACAATACTTTAGTAAAGTTCCTGATGGAATAAACTGAGTTACATCCCACTGCTGATTCTATACGTGCTCCCATCCAATGGTGTTGGGTTCTGTAAGATTAACAGGACTTTCGTCCAACACCAGTGGATAAGGATGGACAAGAGGGTCCAATAATTAAGTTAAGTTCAGCTTCAATTCATTATAAACTGCAAGTCTAACTAACAAAACTGGCATATTACATCATACAAACCTGATTATTTTATATAGATTAAACCATTAGTAAAAAAAGATTTTTTCCAATAATAACTTGTATTCCTTGTTTGCTTCTGTTCAGCAATTTCTGGATACCTTACAATGTACTGTGTATGAACTGATAACGGAAGCTCCTTTTTTTACAAATAAAATTGCTGGCCTTAAGTCCACAAAACATTACAAATATGACTTAAACGATCATTTGAAAGAAGATTACTGATTTTCCCATGTGCTGGTGATTCTAACTTTTTCGAAAAAGTAAGACAATGAATAACCTGCTAAACTGAAAATTGCTCCTCTTTAAAAACAGAAGTAATATAAACTTTTGGGTCTGATATGTCCAAGAGAATGCAGCTTTACAAACATTTTTCAACTAACATGCAGTAATTGCTAACAAACAGGAGAGGTCACTGTTGCACTGTTGTTTTTGTTAAGCCTCCTCCCAGGTGGAAAAAGATGGACTGTGCCTCACTTTATTGCTGTTAACAGAAGGACGTGCCACGTTTAGAGGTCGAGGCCACCTACATAACAGCACCACAGGACCTGGGGGAGCTGACTCACGGACACATCAAAGCTGAGCAGAACTGAATACACCTGTCACGAGGTGCTGAAACAAACCCATGCAGTGGGAAAATTGCTGTTTTACATCATATCAACATTATATCAACCGAAGTCTCACTGTCATTTAATTTAAAGAACTAAATAAAACAAACAAAATGCATTCAAGTCCACTCAGGTTGAGGTCTGGACTTTAACTGGGTTATTGCAACATCTTGTTTCTTTTGTTTTTTTTTTAAACTATTCTGTTGCAGATTTACTGCTGTATTTGGGATCATTGTCCTGTTGCATAATCCAGTTTAGGCCAAGATCTAGCTGTTGGACAGATGGCCTTGCATCTGACTCTAGAGGAGTTTATGGTTGACTCAGTGACTGCAAGGTGCACAAGCCCTTTGACTGCAAAACAAGCCCAAATCGTTGCCAGTCTGCCACCGTGCTTAAGGGATGAGTTGAGGTGTTTGTGCTGATATAGCTTGTCTGATTTTCTCCAAATGTGGTTCTGTGCATTAAAGCCAAACATCTTTCTTGTCCTTTTCTGTCCAAAGGATTTTATTCCAGAAGTCTTGTCGGTTGTTCAGATGCAACTTGGCAAACCTAAGCTGTACTGCGATCTTCTTTTCACTTCCAAACAAGCGACACTTGTCCCGTCTTTTTCTAATTGTGACATTTAACATTAAACATACTAACTGACGCTTGTAGATTCTGAGATGTAGCACATGGGTTTTTGCACCTTAATGCTCTAGACCAGCAAACTGCCAAAACGTTGGCTTTTATAAAAGTGCTCACACTTATTGATGATCAATTGAGTCCATTTAATTTAAATTTTATAGAGGGTTGTAGTCTATACTACTTAGTTTTTCACAGAACTGTGAAAACTTTCTTGCTCTGTGTAGATTATTTTTAATTCTCACTTCACCCACCCCCACCAACCTGAAAACCATGTCTATCCGTGCACATTCGCGAGGGGGTTAATGTAAAATATTTCAACAAGAAAACAGATATTCATGTACGACTCTTTTCACTGTTGCTTATTAAGCAGTTCTTATTTTCTGTCTTTAAGAGACGCTATCAATCGTCTTCTGTGGATGAGAAGGGCAGACATTGCTGCAAGCGGAACAAAATAAGGACTAGTAACATAAGACTTTTCAAAACGTTGATTGATGACAGTAAGGTTTTGAAGACGTAAAATAGCTAGGTAAGAGTGTTTTGTGGGTGATTTATCTATTTTTTTGTAACGTCTCTTTTTGCAAGCACAAGCAACCACTGTATTAATAGCAGAAGGTGGAAACAATGCAAACTCTAAATCAGGAATGTCAAACTCATTTTGCATCATAGGTGACTTTAATCTTAAGTGGGCCGGACCCATAAAAAACATGATAAATGTGTAAAATTACAGAAAAGGTTCAAGCAAATATTTTTCCTAGACTGTCTTATAATTATAAAATATAAAGTTTTCATTTTCACAGAAAATGTCCTTTTTTTGGACTCAGTGTAAGAAGCGAAGTATATATGTGGTATGAATCCAACTAAAGGGAAAGGGTATAATTTGAAAAGCTGTAAAACTTATGAAAATACAATGAAAAGTTCACATTTTCTTAAGCTGTCCTGTCTTGGCCTTGCCGATTTTGGCCTCATGTATGACACCCCTGCTCTAAATGGACATCAAACATACAATACCCAGTTTATAAAATAAATTTAAGGGTTTTTTTTCTTATCTGTTTTCACTAATATTGCATAATCTAAATAATATCACTCTTAAGTGGTTGCTACAAAGCCTTGCGGTCCACCCACTCAGGCTGAAGTCCCCGCCCACAGCTGGCCGCAGTATCCAGCAGTGTCTCCTTCTTAAACATGTCACTTCTATTCAGGTTCAATATCAGATGCTCGCTCCCGGAGCCCCGGGCACCAGGAATGGCAGTAGTGACGCCTTTGTATAAGTTTATTTTTGATTCATACCGCCTGGCGTGAGTCACGACAAGGGCCCACTAGTTGAGAATACATGCCTCTCGGGAGGGAAACCTTTGCTTATGATAATGGATGGGTAAAGATGAAACAATTACTAAATTCACTCGCAATTTCGCCAGATTTAAGCGAAATTATTTCAGATTCCTCTCTGTAATCATAACTCACAGAGAATAATTATTTTAAAATACATAAAAAAATTGATCTTACGTCCTAATGGCAGCTCTTTGAATCTGCTTAAGGGTCGAAAAGCTGAGATCCGTGGCCGGTTTTGTTGACCTAATGACTGATAAGTCATCGAGCTCCTTCAACCGAACGCTAGGTGGCGCAACAGACTCTACTCCGTGCTAAAAACATCCAGGGCTTATTTTTCGTGCTGGAGCCAGAGGCCTCAAGTAAACTCAAGTGAGTGGAGATATGAGAAGCAGGCTCCTCTCTGTTTGTTGTTTGCACTTCTCAGCTCAACGTCCTAAAACTCTCTTCAGCTGTCAAATGACTCAAAATGGTGTGTAACGCCAGACTTCACACTAATCTGATGTTCTTTCTCCCTTTCAAAATAAAACAAGTGACAAAATACAAGTTAATTGAAATAACGACATAGAAAAGCCTGTATCCAACATAAACATCCACGCACACATGAACAGCTACAGAATAGATTTTTTCAGTGCCCTGCTCACCTGACGTCACAAAATGCTCAGAAGATGCATTTTTTTTGTGCGTTATGTTTAAATACAGATTTTGCTCATATGCTTGTATTCTTATCTCTCATAAAACATTGCAAGATTTATGGGCTTAGACACGGGGGGGGGGGGGGGGAAGGGGTGATACTTGCAGAGGGGATGTTCATTTTCATGTTTGGAGTCGAGAGAGCAAGCAAGAAATACGAGAGAGAGAGAGAGACGGAGAGAAAGAGAGAGAGGGGGAAGAGAGAGACTCAAGTCTAATACCGCGGAAGACCACGCGCTACAGAAGACGGATGAAGGCACGCGACATGTCTCAAGGATTCAGGTAAGTTTTAACACACCAGGAAAAAAACATGTTTGAATGTGCATGGTGTTTGTAGCAGAATGGGAAACATGGACTGATTAAAGGTGACAATAAGAACATGTCATGTCTTGCTTCCTATTATAAATGTAACAGCTTAGTTTGTTTATTATTATTATTATTATTATTATTATTATTATTATTATTATTATTATTATTATTATTCATTTAAACCTAGAGGTACCTTAGGCTGCACGATAGCATAATAATATGTTTATATGTATATCGTCTATCTTGTAGGCTTCCTCGTATTAAACTCACATAGATGCCGATTCGTATAATAGTTTCTATTGATGAGTCAAATCGTGAAGAATGCGTCTGTGAGGGGATGACGAGTGCAGCCAGTAGTCCCAAAGACGTCCTTGTACCGTGTTTGGGCGCGCGCTGTCCACGGTCCTGAAATCGGCAGCCTGCCTGATCTTGTGGATGGCTGAGCCAGCATCCGCACAAAATAGCAAGCGATCATTTGCAATGAAAACACCGTATTGTCTGAGAGGTTTTGAAGTAACGGACTGTCTCCGCACGTGTTAAATAGACGTAGAGGCTTGGCAGACCAGACAGTAGTACTGTTGAACCACTGTTGGCCATAGACCAGCTGGGTGTCCGTTTTGAATGCCTTGCTCAATGGCATCTCGCGTCTGGTGGTTGATAATAGCGGGATAAGGAGGGCTGCCAGCTGTAGGAATGTGAAGCAGGGCGTTGATGTAAAGGAGCATGCGTGCTTAGTCA